TTCCAATCTTGTGGCCAAAAGTGTTTGCACCTGCACCATTCACTTATGCAAACCCATTTGGGTCATGACCCCAAGTATAAGAAGCTTTGGTTTGAGGGGAGTTTATCCAGCCTCATAGTCATTATTACATATTCTCATGCATAAGTCTAATGTATAAGCTCATGTATAAGTCTAGAACTTCAGTCAAAAAAATCAACCCCTAAAACCTGGGTCAAAATATCCATGGGTGAGTACTGAACTTTAATTCTAACAAAAAAGGAACCACACTCTTCTCAGAATAGAATGGTGAAAAACAAGAGCTTAACCCATGCCAGGGGAACCTAAAAGAAGCACTAATCCCCTCTATACACAGCTTCTGATATTTTTGAATTCTCGGGTAGAGAAATGGCAATGGAAATGGCTGGCCTCGAGGCAGCTTTCGCCTCTCTTTGGAATGATCCTCAACCTCTCTATGCATCATATTAAGATCCATAATTTTGGACTCAAAATTTGCCCTTGACTTATACTTGAGGTTGACTTATACATGAGTATGTATGGTAGTTGCATACACAGGAAAGCCCTAGATAAGTTAAACTTTTCAGATAACTTTAAATATACGGATTCCATTTTGAAAATACAATTGCTTTCACACTGTTCCCGATCAATGTGTTTGTCTCATTTTTGGTCCAGTACTCACCTCATATCTATGATTAATGCATCAGTGTTGACAATTTTATTCCACACATGTTCTACTAGCAACTCAGAGACTTGGGACAAAAGGTCACAGTATCCAAACATGTCAAATCGCAGGTAGCCAATATTATTTTCAAACACCTTGGTTTGCAAAGAAAACTTAATGAGTTCTTCTAACATTTCTGGTGAAGGGACCTGAAACAGTTTGAAAAAACAGCCATGAACTTCCAAGAGCAACAATCCAGTATATGTTGATATTACTGGTCTTACTAAAACAAAACTGGCATGGTTACAGTAAAATGTTGGACCATCAACTAGAAAGACTTGGGTTTACATCCCACAAACCTCATATTCGGTGACCTTGGATTAGGCCCTGTTTTTCCAGTACTGTATAACGTTGGTGGAAGAATGATATGGAAACAGATAGATCAATAAATGAAAAGAAAAGCACAGTTTCTTTGTGCTTAGTACCAACTAAATTCTGCACTCATCAGAAATTGTTAACAAATTTATGGCTTCATCTGAACTACTGTGTTCAGTTCTGAGCATCTTGCATTTGGAAGGCTATAGATAGACAGTTGGGGCAGGTTCATATTGGGGCAACTCAGAATAACTGATATGGAGAACAAAATGTTTGAAGAAAAGTTGAATGGGCATTTTAAGCCTGATGAAAAGGTGGAGAACATAACTGCACTTCTTACATATCTAAAAGACTGTCATAAAAAGGAGGGTCAAAGGTTTGTTTTCTGCTACCCTTTTTAGTTTATTTAATAGATGGTGGATTTCAGTTGAACATTAGAACAGATTTCTTGACATTAAGAGCAGTCAGACAAAGGAACCAGTTGGCTAGAGTGGTGGGATCTCTTTCACTGGGTGCATTTAAAAGGAGACTAAGAGGCTCTAGCTCAGTGGTTT